AAATTATCTATAAATTCGATCTGTTCCAAGCTTTACATTTTAATAGTAATTAATTCCACCAATATAAAACATTAATTTATATATAGATATATGACAAAGTATGTAACATAACGCATAACAACATAAATTGACATAAGTGAACCATGGTTTTATACATTTTAGATAATATCAGAGTCAATAACAAATAACTTGTTAATTTGACTATTTGTAATTATTATTGTTAAAACACGGCAGATATGATAATTATATGTACTTCTTTAATGCCTATGTTTTCATAGTAATAGATCATGTAGATTCTATTAGTCAAAAATATTTGACCAATTTTCGAAATACACATGGATTTCCTTACATAGTAAATATTGTAACATTGCTATACTATACGAGATCATTTTCTTCCTTTTCTTTTTACGTTAGTATCGATCACAGTACAGCAAAACAGCTATTAAGCTAGCTCATAATAGAAACTGCCCTATCACGTGTAACTGTGATTTATAATTCTTTTTATATTTATTTTTACATGTTTTACGTTACCAGGTAAGAAACAGCATTATTGACTTGAATTATACTAAATTGTGACTCTAAGGACCATAAATATGATTATTTCGTAAGTGCATGGAGTTATAAGATGCTACAACCAATTCTTTTTAAAATCATGTAAAATATTTGTATGCTAGTTAGATTAAAATATAAAATGTGTAATTTGTCATTGAAGTTGATATTCCTTATGGTACACATGAAAGTACACAATACTTTTACAAATATTTATACACAATTATTCGGCATACCAACAACCATATAATCATGCAATGTTAAGAATTTATAAAATGAGGTAACGAAATTGTCATTTCATACATTGTTTTCCATACACGCTAGCAATTTTATAAATTTTATAATGACAAATATAAAAATTTTTGTTGAATAGAAATCGATTTTATAAGTATGTTCTTTAGCTTTAAATCTATATTGTGATTCCTCTGATAAAAGTTGAAAGATACGGTAATAAATGTCCTTCATTAATGTATTAAATTATTATATCAAAACATTTTTCAACCATTTCATATTTAGTATATACGACTTAAATTTTCTTACATGTGATTTGTAAATTTACATGTTCAATTGATGAATTTGAATAAAAAATTTCGTATCAGTTATCATCAATGTATAAATGATACGTTAAAATTAGATTTATGTGTTGTAAATTATTAGAACATAATTACTATGTTGTACAGATTGTAAAACTTTCAGAAATTACTGTTAAAGTTAATATTATATTATTACAAAGAAAAAATAAAGTACATGTTTTAAGAAGAAAAATAGAAACGTTAGTTTAGTTTTTTAGTGCGTCTTCTTTTATTCTTACGTCTTACTCATGATAAAATAACGTATAGAAAGTAATACAAATTCTTATACAGTCTCTAGAACTATTTTGTAGAATTTTTATCGTACGCACTCTATTTATCATCAGATATACCTGGATTCAAAACCAATGAATCCATACTACCAGTTACATCCATTATTTTTGCTTTGTTTGTATCAGGATTAATTACTGCAATATGTCCTCGCCCTTCAAATCTTTCACGAACTATTAAGAAAACATAGAAAAATATCAAACTTCAGGAGACAAAACGTACATACTAACTTGTACAAGGCAATTATATAAAACATACCTTCTGATATAGTAGATAGGTCGTATACCTTAATATTATGGGCTTTATTATCACCACCCACAGCAAACGTAAAAGGATTATCTGGATTTGATTCGAGGCATAATAGAGAACCAAGATTACTTTTCTCTTCACAAACACAAAAAGGTTCTGCATTATTAATAATGTCCCATACTTTTAGGAAACCATCGTTTCCTGACGTGACGACAAGTCCAGGACACGACGAACTAAGAGCTAAACCTAATAGTATAATACGAGTTACATTTGAATGTACTTTATATTTAATTAAATTATATTGTTGCTTATTTAAATGTTGAACATATTCACCTGCAACTTCTTCTGTGTGAGCTTCTGCATTCCAAACTGGTTCATCTTGTCTAATGTCTATGTAATGTAAATATCCATTAGCTGTACTAGCCTAAAAAAATAATGATTAAAATCATTTCTTTAAATCTATTTATATAAGAAATTTTATAAAAATCATGTATCATATGTATTTACTATACAGTAATTTAGATCAAAACGATTCCATAATACTCTTTCCACTTCTCCCATTGCTTTCCATGATTTTACACACTCTTCTTGCTTACCATCAAATATCTTCACTCCTCTATGTAATAGAAAATTAAGATATATACGTAAATTAATAAAAACATCTAATGATTAATTAACAGTTAATAGACTTACTTATCTGCAGAGCCAACCAGTAAATGCTGAAGATTTCCTGGATTCCACTTCAGTGCTTGTACTTTGTTCTTAAAGCTAGTAAATTTGTTCACAGGTACTCCTACTTCTAAATCCCATAGCAAAACTGTTTGGTCAACTGAACCGCTTGCAAGTACATGCCTGAAAATCCATTTAAAAAACAATTTCAGTATTAGTTATATTAATTTATAGATAGAATTTAACACTAACGTATAAGTTTCATTCCAAGCTAGATCTAAGACAGCATCTTTATGTCCATTACGTTTTAGATTCTTCTTTTTCCTTGGCTTACTGCCAAGTTTGTAAGCTGGTTCTAAACAATCTATTAAATCTAAATCCCATACTTCTATTACACTATCCATATTACCAATTGCACATAAATTACCTGAAACGTTGTAGAATGTATAGAATGCTGAAACTTTATAATAATGCGAAGATTTTCTCGTCACTTACATGGTTTCGAGTCTGTTGGGTCGAAATTAAGCCATTCTATACACAATGGAAATGAAGGTAGTAATAGATCGTGATGGCAATAGAATGAACCTTCGGATTCATTATACACTGTAAAATATATGAACATACGTATCTCATTAGTCTCTTGTAGACATTATGTATTTTTGTTTAGAGAGAAAGTATTTTACAAACCATATACTTCCAAGGTGCTGGCATCATCTTCAACGTGTCCTACTAATAAAAGATTATCAGTATCTTTGATAATGTCATTTTCATTTTCTGAATCGTCATCTTCTGCAGTTATTAGTGGATCCTTCCCATCTTTTTCAAAACTGACAATATTGGCAATATTGCAATGTATGTTACCCGCTGTATATCGATAAGAATATTACGGAATGGATTGTATTATTACTTTTACTATGATACAAAAAGGTTTATCAACCTACACTCTGCATCATATTTATCAAAGTTATATTCGTCCATATGATCTTCTGTTTTGTCTGTCTGATTTACGACTTCCTCATCTTCTATACTTTCGTTTTCAACATTACTAGATTCAAGCATTTTTTTTACAAGTACCAAACATTTTGTTTCAGAATCATGGAAAATCATTATGATACTTACTCCAAGTTAGATTTTTCCTCGCTTATGATTTTTTCTAATTCCTGAGCGGTTAATTCGATCTAAAGTAAACAAAAATTAAGATTTATATATAAATTTAAAACAAATAGGTTTTCACTGAAAAACAATTTTGTTTTATTTTACTAAAATCAACTAACCCTTTGAGGATTAGAATTTGCAACTCCTCTCTTCACCCAACTTAGGCACGGTATTATACTCATCTTTCCTCAGTTATATTTTATGCAGAATTATTTGTATGAAACAGATCTACGAATTTTCAAGTTAATCTGGAATACAGAGACTATAACTGTATGCAAGAATGGTCCAATATCGCGCACGTGGTAGCTAGTACTGAGTGGTTCTGCTCATGGTTCACGAATTCTTGAACGTAGAGGGATAGAGTAATATCTCTCCAATATCCACCAAAATCGTTAACTCTTCAGGTAAGATATGATGTACAAGACGCAGAGCTACGTAATTTTTCTTACGTCCAACATGTAGTCACGTCTGGTCACGTCAACACGTCCTCACGTAGACATGGTCCATGTTCTAGTCAGTAATACAGCATCTAGTCATAGTCAGCTCTATTCTCAGGATACTATAGCATATTCGCACTCTAGTATATTATAGTAGTTGGAATTCAAACGAGCCAAATTCAGTGATTTTTATCTTTCAAGTATCATGCAATGAGGTAATATTTTCGTATAATTTTTTATCCTAAAATTGTGCTGTCCATGTGTACCATATTAAGATGTGTGCACTACCACAGCCTACTGTGTACTTATGCAGTACTGTGGCACAATGTTGGAATTTACGCCGGCATTTCTCGCGCATCCGCGGCTTTTATTAGTAATATTGGCGGGAGAAGACCGAGACGAAGGCTCTCTGGTTTTACCACAGCAAGATAGTTGAAGGATTTTGTGGAGGTCGATTTCCCTTCCGTCTTTCGCTTCAGCCAGCTTCATCATTTAAAATACACGCAGGTATTTATCAAGTGCATTTTAATAATTCATTTGTATCATAAGCTCGTATATGCACGCTTTCGGTGATATGGTCCAATTTTCTACTTTCCCGAATGGTGCAAATGGGTTTTTGGTTAAATAGCTTCTCTACAAGTTTATATGATACGGATTGCGAGATTCGTATTTAAACGTTTCATGTTTATTTCCTTACAAATAAAGTTGAGGAGTTTCACTTATTAAAGTGCATATAAGAAATTTGTATGACATTATTTTCGTATTTACACATTGTATATGAACAGATATTTGATTCGTTTAAAAATAATGCTAGGTGTTACATTTCGCGCACACATTTCCTTCATCGTATATTTAACTACCTATTATATACGGTAACGTACGATTATACCTTTGTACAGCATGAAAGGTGTGAGTGAAAAACTGAACACATTATGGCCTACCGCAGTTTTTATTTATGCGGACGTTCATTTCTACAGCTACATTTTAAACATCGTTAAAATATAAATATAGTGTGATAAATAGTAATAAATACAAAAAGATGCATCTTAACAAACGTTAAAGATTAGTATACATTTCATGATGGTTGTAAAATCGTTCGATGTTTGAAGAAGATTATCGTTTCTATAGTTCCGTTAAAGAACTCCACAATTGCTAGACTCGCATAACAATGCAAATAGTACATATAACGTCAATTGGTTCAAGGGTCTTATTAAATAGATTGAAAAAGGAATTGATTATATAAAATGACACTGTGCGTTTGCTAAGTTAGTTGAACGATACTGTTAGTATCGCTGCAACGTTCGTATTCCAATACGAACGAATATCATAAAAGTGCATGCAGTCGATACCTAACAGTGTCGTTATTATTTCTAAAAAGAGTTGAAGGTTGAGGTCTTTATGTTTATCGTATGTGTATAGTTACGCTTTTTATAGTAGGAAGGATACAACGTCTGAAACAAACGAAGCATTGCAAAGGAGTGTACTCGTTTTCAATGGTGAAACGAGTAAGCGTATCTTTAACTTCGATTCGTCCGATTGAAAATGTCCTAAAGCGATTAAATATATTAAGCATCGACATAAGAATTCAATCGTGCTGAAAGTATTATCGTCCGTGATTACTGCCGCGTTTTTACTGTTCCAGACAGAAACTACCCTACGCGTTGTAATAAACATTACCCTATATATTCCCTTTTTGTAGTACACGCGATATATGTATATATCACTATACCTAGATAAAAGTTTAGTATTGATATCCTCCGTTGGCCGCTGCATCACCGCCGTTTCCGGATGGGTATCCTCCGTTGCCATTGCCACCGTTATTTCCGTTTCTCTGACCACCATTGTCACCACCTGGTCTACCGGATGGATATCCTCCTAGAAAATGGGACACATATTTTACATAAATATACTAAGTATAAAAATAATATCCTGCGAACCACGAAATCGAAACGCAATGTCAATGCGAGCCGAGAGTAAAACGAATTGCAGAGTTTTTCCTAACTCTAATCCAACAGAAGCTTTAGACTGAGAATGAACTATCAAGAACTTAGTAGTTGTTAGAGCAATTCTGCTACCGGTTTCGTTTTTCGTATGAGAAACTCTGCAAGAATCACGTAATGATAAAAAAGAGAGAAGTCTTTCTTTGTTGAACTGTGTTAGTTATATCAAATGTAATGGGTTAATAAAAATGAATAGGGTTGTCGTATACCATCGTTGAAGCCGGATCCACCGCCTGGACTTCCCGACGGATAACCATTGCCACCTGATCCACCACCGTTAGGGCCACTGGGATATCCCCCATCTCCACCATTGCCTCCTGGCCCACCAGAACCATATCCGTTGTTCGCTTCACCTTCGTATCGAATTTGAGGTTTAAATCCATCTTGATCAGCTTCGTATTCAACGATCTGTTTTCTACCATCGGGAAGCAGAACGTTAAATTCTCCCTGCGCGCGATCACCGTCTCTACTCTCCGTATGACCAAAATCAGCTCCAGATTGGTCATCTTTGACTTCATAAGAGAATTCGTATTTCGCCGGTTCCTACGACACGAAAAATAAGCAAACCTGTAGATTTCAATTTTCAACAGACTGATTAACTATCTATTCACGTTAATTGTTGAATAATTATCTTCCATATGGACTCACGTTGCTTTCATCATCTCCATTGGTGCCGTAACCGCCATTGCCGCCCCCATTTCCACCCGGTCCCCCGGAGGGATAACCAGAGTCTCCATTGCCACCCGGTCCGCCAGAAGGATAACCACCAACTCCGTTACCACCTGGTCCCCCCGACGGATATCCACCGTTCCCTCCGTTTGGACCTCCGGAGGGGTAACCACCGTTCCCTCCTCTGTTACCACCAGGACCGCCTGAGGGATAGCCTCCACCGTTTCCACCTGGTCCTCCTGACGGATATCCACCGTTCCCTCCGTTCGGACCTCCGGACGGGTATCCATTCGTTCCGAAACCACCATTGCCACCGTTACCACCATTATATCCTCCATTTCCGCCACCATTTCTGCCAGGCGGTCCATAAAGTCCCGATGGTCTTCCTCCTCCGTTTCGGTCAGGTGTTCCATAACTATCTGATGGTCTTCCTCCTCCGTTTCGGTCAGGTGTTCCGTAACTGTCCGATGGTCTTCCGCCTCCGTTTCGGTCAGGCGTTCCATAACTGTCCGACGGTCTTCCTCCTCCGTTTCGGTCAGGTGTTCCATAACTATCCGATGGCCTTCCCCCGTTCCTGTCGGGCGTACCATAGCTATCGGACGGTCTGCCTCCTCCATTTCTGTCAGGAGTACCGTAACTATCTGATGGTCGGCCTCCCCCGTTTCTATCGGGAGTACCGTAACTGTCTGATGGCCGACCTCCCCCGTTTCTGTCAGGTGTACCATAACTGTCCGACGGCCTGCTTCCTCCATTCCTATCGGGCGTACCATAGGTTCCCGAAGGTCGTCCGTTACCTCCGTTTCCGTTCCTGCCTGGAGGCCCGTAAAGTCCCGAAGGAGGTGCACCTCCGTTACCACCACCAAAACCATTTCCACTTTCTGGAGTACCGTAGCTGCTCGACGGTCGGCCACCGAATCCGTTCTTCCCGTTGCCACCACCATTGCCTGCACCAGGCGCGCCGTAGCTGCTCGACGGTCTTCCGGCTCCTCCATTTCCACCGAATCCATTGGACGGTGCTCCATAAGAGCTAGAAGGTTGTCCGCCACCGAAACCGTTTCCTCTCCCGCCGCCGTTCCTCCCACCGTTCGCTCCAGGTCTACCAGAGCCACCACCGTTGTATCCGTTTCCACCGGTGGGTACTCCGTAACTGTTCGACAAACCGCCATCACCTCCACCGATCCCGTTCTGACCATCAAAACCAGGTGGTCCGTAAGCGTCCGATGGTGGTCCACCGCCACCCCCGCCGTTACCGCCTCCAGGACCACCGTTACCTGGTGGTAAATACGAGTTCACCGGAGGCTCGGAGCGCACCAGGGTGAGGGCTACAATAAATACTGCTAGTCCAATCTGAAATTCGATATACATCGTATGTAAATAGTTGATTAATTGTTATTTCAGTAGAAGAGATGAAGATTATTTTTCAGACGTTATCTACACAGACATTTTCCCCCTGCGATTAATTAGTGAATAAAATTTTACGGTTGCTTCATAAATGTCGAACTTTGTTACACGTTTGAGAATGGAGCTCGCTTTTCGCAATTCCAACGGAGAATAGGTTGGATCATTCTGACGTGCGAAACAGCGCGCTTCTTCCTATTCGATGCTTATCAGTTGCGACAGATATAATTTCCCTCGCGCATACCTATCGCGGCCTGAGTTTCCTCACCTTAGACATGGCGATGAATCGGTGGGTCTTTCTTCTGGGTGGAACAATAAACCTCCTCGCCACCGCTTTTTCCCTCGTTTATCCTTGAGAAGGCGAGCCTCTGGATCACGCGAGGTGCGCTGCGCTTCCGTTGGTTCTATCTTTTGGCTACGCGCACCTTCCACCGTTGGATGGTGTCGAGGGAATGACAAACTTTGGTTCTAATCCGCTTTATATATCCCCGGATTCATCCGTGTTTCTAGATCACGGTTTGGTGCAAGAGATGGGCAGGATTTACAGTGTGCCACGGCGTAACTGTGTCACGGTGGTGTTGAATCAGTCGATGATGGTGGTGATGGTGAACTGAAGAAGAGTGGGACCGTAGCAGCCACCTAGAGTACGGATTCGTTCCATATTTCACGGGTTACGAATCCTATATTGTAACGCAATGCGGTGCATCATTAACTCGGCGCATCGCTCCTCTTGTGCTCTGACGGGATGACGAGAGCGGAGCGGCGCGACGAAGAAGGATGCAGGACTCTGTAAGGATGCGAGCCTTCTAAGGATGGCAACTTCAAACGCTCAACTTCGTTAACCGGCTTGATTAATACTGCGCTTCATATCGGAAACTTTCACGAAATTGTTCGATCCTTGAAGAACGCGCCGACGAGTGTGACATTGGCTAATAGAAGACAATTGAACTAATTACCAAAGTATTTGTCTAATTGTCTAATTGGAAGTCAAAACTTATCGACGATTAAACGGATGTCACTGATTATTGATTCAACTGTCAAAGTGTACGATGCAATTATGTGACGCGTAAAAAGGCTGAAGAATCTGTCCTGATATGACGTATGTACATACGTACACATAGAAAGTGGATTTTTAATTGAATTTTTTTTTGAGGCTCTCAGACTGAAAGTTAATTGATGATGAAACTCGATGACTCGATACATTTCGGAAATGTTTTCTTAATCGCCGCCTGCTCTGGATGTGTTCTTCGCGATCATCCGTCTAATTTCGCAACCGATAAGTAGCCATCGATACCGAATGTCATGGTTTTGGCACAGTTCGAACTTTACATGCTGTAACATACTTTCTTAGCACTTTTAATTTCGTAATCGTTTAATAATCGATGCCATAATGTGATCCATTAAGGCGTTACAATGTCGTTTCTTTATTGCATTGACGTATGTTTTCAAGTTTGCTGCGGAGATAAAACAATTATTGTAATATTGCTAAGTACTTCATACATCTTTCAATTTCACGTCCATATCAGACGTAACGTGAACAGTGAGACGCTGTTTTATTACATTTTTTTTCATGCGTGACAAACGAGATTGCCGAGATCTTAAAGCCTAACATTTTTCACGAAACAACAGATAGCTTCTTCACGTTTGATAAAAAAGCGATTACCATCTATGTATGTCAACACTAGGTATCGAAAGATTCTATAAAAAGTAGAGTCATGTAATTCATGTAGAGAGAACTCGAAAAGGAGAGATGGCAATTAAACCTATTATGTCCCGCGCAGTTAAGGCAACGATGCGCTTTCTGTCAACGAGACTTTCTCATGCGTTTTTACGAAGCGCACACGTCATTGAAACGCGAGGGGGTTAAGAGCATCGCTGCTTAAAATGCGCATACGTGATGGAATTGATGCATCTTAACTGTATCCTTTAGCATGCTGTTATGGGCAAATAGATGAAGAGGATGCGATTAATATACTGATACCGATCAAATTATACAAATCACTTTTCCTCGCTGTATCCATAAATGTGTACGTCGCTTCCAACAGTTTAATTATATCTAAACATCTAATTTCTTATTTGACAACATTAAAAGTTCTGAAAGGTTCGTGTAATCTTTTCATATTGCATCTTCTTCCAATCTATTTCAGTTCAATTCTCTATTTAATTATTGAAGATCTATAGACAATTCGTCGTTCCGATTCTCATGGTAGAATCCAGTTTGATTAATTTTTTGTAAAATAATTGGACTAATTATCCCGAAAAACGTCGCGTCACGAAATTAGTAGGGCACGCAGACATACGGATTCAACTGTCCAACGTGTACACACGCTCGTATCCTGGATGCAGAATGTTTGTGCAATCGGTGAACTCGTGCTGAATACAGGTGGTGGCAACGTGGGATGTTGGTTAAGATAGGGATACATTATGCAAGATTGCGTCACGGGTTTATTGTATCAGCACCTCATCGTACACGAACACGAGTAAGATAGCGCGGCGAGTACCCTAAGATTTTTACGATCGGAGATTTATAGTGTTGGCGAATCCTGAAATTCGTCTTAATCGGTTTAGAACAGTTTCGATTGTATCGCGTCGTGTCCATTTTATTATACATCGGCCTGGGTTCCATGGCGCGTTGCGAGACTAGTGGAATCCTCGCCGTGCATAAATCGCATCGCGCAACGCGGTGCCACGGACTATTCAGATTTAATAAATGACCGGAGGCGAACCGTTTCATGCTTGATAAAGCTGACGCTCCGATGGCGTTGATGCATCGTTCGAAATTTCGTTCGGATTCGGGTCGTACCCGGGGAATACGGAGTCACCGCGTTCCCGACTGGGACGATCGACTTTGAAGAGAATCTCGGAATATCATAACCGCGTTTGAGAATTATTAAGATTGTTCTCCAGAAGAGATTAATGTTATGGACGTGTTGCACGTGGACGTACGGAGATGAGATTAATGCTTATCGTAGATGGAGCAAAATGGTAAACGAGCTAGGATAAATGAAGTCACGAATGGCTAAATTAACTCTAGGAACTTGCTTAATAGTTTTTCCGATGATTATATCTCCGGACAGCGGCGCGTCAACGAGGAAAGATAGCAAATTAGTTTCGGAGATAACTGTTACGTAAAAGCAATTCCCCTGTGGGATGAGTGCGCGTCCAGCTTTCGTATTTTCACGTCGTCCGATTGTTCTTTTCTGAATTCCTCGTACGTTCCAAACAGATTATTTATTGCGTGTATTATATCACGTCGTTAGGCGTTTTCCTTTTCTCTAATCGCGTTTCATCTTTTGAACGTTTTACGATTTTCCTGCTTTCTTAGCGTGATTCATCTCCTGATGGGAAACATTCCTCATTTCATCTTACAATGAATCTTAAATTTTCACTAGCTTTATGTGAACTCGCATATACATATGCACGTACATGCAGCGTGTAGACGCAATTACGCAATTCAGTTTTTAAAAATACGAGTAAATCAAGTTTAAGCAGAAAAGCTAGAGAAAATGGGACGGATCGAGCGGAGACAGAGCCAGGAAATAACAGCATTCCTGCATGATTGCGTCCGTCAGATTCCCATATCCTCGATCGTACGCACATCTGCATACCTCATTGTACCTACACGACGCGCGTCGTAACACGGAAGACCCGTGTCGATCACAAATATAATGCAACCCTCTCCCTCCCTCCTTCGCCGTTATTTATGCAACCCGGGGCTTGTGCAACGAATAAGAAGAAGAAAATCGGCCCGGCTGAAAGCCCGCGTGCACGTTTACAAATTTAGCAATTCAAACCACGTTATCGCGATATCACGATCGATCGAACGAGAGTGATAGTTTATCGCTGGATATACATATGCACATTATAATAGGATGCATCCGTTCCAAACTGGTGGCCGTTTATTCCGATGAATCAGAACGTGCTTTCTCTGGCTGAGCAAACGCGATATACATGCCCACTCGATCCGCGGCGGCTGTATAATCGAAGGAGTTTCACCACTTCTATTTGATCTGCGAAAGTGTTGGAGCCCTGTTGCCTGCGAAGATGAGCGCTCGTGCTACAGTTAGGTAATGTTCTTTCGCCTGATCTAATTTACTGTCCCTACATCGATCTACAACTGTCTCACCGAATTGCAACACTCCCGCCGTTAACGATGCAATACGGTTGGGTGCTTACACTTTTGATATAAACGCGGATGACTTATTGCCGTGTTAACGCGCCGTTATGCGCCATTGGTCCTCGCGTTCTTGCGTCGATGCTTTTCAAACTTTTTTCACTTCAAACACGTACTTCTATTTATATACACAGATGTATAAATAGAAGACCTCTATTTAGAGATGTATAAATGAAACTACTTCTATTTATGCATGTATATATTTATTTATCTTGTATATTTGGCTATTTATATTTAGGCAGTAAATGAATGAGAGGCGAAAGAACCGGAGCTCAATTCTGTTAAAGGAATAATATATAATAAAAATAAGACAATTTTTGAGTATTTATTTATATTGTATTTATAAAAAATCCTATTTGAATTTTAATTGAAATGCAAAGGTAATTTGCATCCGATGTACTCTGATCTAAATACGGTTGAAAAATCACGCAACATTCCTTTTAGAGGAATAATGGTTTGAGAGCAAAGGTTAATCTGTACAATCATATATTGAGCAACAATTTGAATGAAGGTTCTTGTACTTGGAGCCGACGAAATTACGTTAGCCGTTGCTGACGTATATAAATCGGGTACCCTAGTTTAATTTTGCTTGCGCTATCGCTCGCAGTCGTTGTGTCTCGTCTTTGGTAACGTGCGAAGTTTTACCTTGAGGATCGAGCGTAACATCCTTTTTATTTCTTATAATATATGGAGTTCAAGGCGACGTTCGATAAAAAGTTAATTGAGTTTTATGGAACGGATTATGAGCAGCGATGTGAAAAAAGATAAGGTTAAATCTAATTGAGAGATTGGAAAATCTAGACATTGGAAGCTAGCATTGAATTTGACGTATGGGATGATCGAACAAATTAAATTCATTGTCTTATTCTACAATCTAATACGTTTCAAGATAGATTCTATTTTATATGCTCGAACGGCCTTGCTTTTATCTTTTATTTTAACTACCTGGCAAACGAACTGTTAAAATCATTGATTAATAATTAAATAAAAGTAGATAGGATCATAATAGGGTAAATGTAAATTAAAGTTCATACAAGAGTTACTTTTGCAAATTGTATTCTGTATTAAATTCTCGTAAAGATTACATCATGAAAATATAATTCTAATGAAATCATGGAAATTTGTGTATCACTTCCATATGTTACATTTATTCGCAGGATTCATGCGACTGCCCACTGGACATTTGAAGGCTTTGGCGAAGTCCTCGGAATTTGACACCGGGCCAATCACTCGCAAACGTGCTGTACTGTGTACATCGTACATGGCCTGCATTCTCAGCATATCTTCGTTTTCCGTTTCACACCATAACTGTAAGTACAATTATTAATAATCATTACTTATAAATTTATAAAAGGTTCAAGTTCATTCAGAGAACTCATATGTCAGAAACTTACATTCGCAAATGATAAGAAGAACATCTGATTGTTACTAAACTGTTCTAATCCCGGTAGAGCAGGATCTTCTTTTCCACATTCTCGTTCTCTTCGTTTATAAGCTCTGAATACTGCGTGCATACCCATGGAATCCGCGATGTTCTCACCTATAGTCTGATTGCCATAGTCCTACAAAAACAAAATTAACATTGACTATCTTTCTCTACATATAATCTAAATTATCTTATTAAATTATGATAGATATAAGAATATTTGTCAATAAGAAAATACGTGAATGTTAAAATACTTACTTCAACCGTGAAATTTTCTCCTTTGAGGATACTATATTTGTTATATTGATTAATGAAACATTTAGCTCTCTTGTTATAAGCGTCGGCCATCGCGGTCAACCATTCCATTCGGTTACCATCTTTGTCGAATAAGTGACCTAACATAAAATATTATTGAATAATTTTGACGTCGATTAAATAAGAATGATTTTGATTTATTTTGATAATAATAAGATACCTTGATCATCGAATCCGTGATTTACCTCGTGGCCCATGATAAGTCCAATAATACCGAAATTTACATACCTACGAAACAAGGTTTTGATAAAATATTTCTTTTTTAAAATACTTCGGATTTATTGCATGATTATTGTTATTACGATGATTTACCATGGTCGATTGGGAGAAAAGAATGGACTTTGCAAATCTGCCGCTGTGATTGCTGTATTGAGACAGAACAATTTATCGTTAGTCACAGTTATTTATGTAGGTAATGTTAAATATTAACAGGGGAACCTATCCAAGTTGCACATGCCAATATTGATGAACCATGAGATATAGATTTCAAACAAATTCGGATTACAAAACAATTCATTAAATATTTTTATCAGACCTATATGCCATATAACTTTCATCAGAATTGGTGTGTATGTATAATGTGTGTGTGTGTGTTGGACAAGACTGTTATTTCCTATCATAAGTACGTTGAGATACATACATATAGTGTTCTCCGTTGGCATGAAAAATGCATTTAATTCCAAAGGATCCAACATGTCGCTAAAAATTGACATATACATAAATATAAATACATTAGTATATAAATACTGTTGGTATTTTTTAAACGAAACCTTACTTAATTTCATCATCTGAACCTTCTTGTACCACTGCTCGAAAATTCTTCCATTTACGATATCTCATGTAATTTATAATGTTTTCGTAGAACGAGGGACCGATGGTGAGCTGGAATTAAAAATAAGTTTGTTGATAAAAAGAAATAATCGATGTAATGTAATTATTAACTATTCGAAGAACTGTAAATTTTTTAATCATAATTAAGTTACTATTAATGCCAATTAAAATTAATTACCCCTTGGAAGTAGCGTTTGACAATTGTAGTATTTCGATACCATTCGGGATAACCGATCCAGTTCTCCATGTGCACTAGTTTATCTAAAACAAAGTGTTTTGTATCCTCGCTCACCCAGTTCGATTCTTCAATCTGGTATTCGACCTCCTTTTGTATGTCATCGATCATATCCCTGGCCTTTAAGAATAACAATTAGCATTTACGAGTAACAAATACGAGAATACCATTGAAGATCCGATAGTATGCATCTACATGAAATTATTACCGCTTTTGCAACGTCTTCTTTGAGATATTCTTGAACGTATTGATATCCCGCTATATTAGTCAGTTGTACTAGATTTAAACATACTTTCTCTCTGCAAAAGAATAAATTAAATATGTAACTATAGATATATATGTTGCGTCTATAAGTAAAACAATGATGTTGGTTTTTTTAATAATGTAAATACCTTGATCCGACTCTGTTGTCTCCGGTCCATTGGTAAAATAACTCAAGCAATTCTTTTCCTGTAGCCATCAATGCCTCTTCAATAAAGAGCCAATGAACATAGTTAACTGTTAATGATAATAGTTATTAGACACGCAAACATATTTTAACGTTTTTATGCAAATAAAGATAGTTTCAAATTTGAATTAGCTTACCAATTACTTTCTTAGGGGTTTCACTGAGTAATTCATGAAGTTTTTCAAAATACGTGGTACCTGGTACTATTACTTCTTCATCATCACCGATCTCTACGTCAGCTTCAGCAAAGAGTCTTTCTACTTTTTTTACCCAATTTATCTGGATATAATATAAATTATTTCTATTACGTGTGTCAATGTTTATTAAAATTATTTCGTTGATATATCGTCCAAATGTCTTACTTTATTAGTAGGTGTGATGGGGCCCCAACTTTCGTATAGCTCTTGGAATCCACTAAGAGTCGTATTGAATAGTTCGAAATCTTGATCATCTACAATCATCACCTAAAACATCGTCATATTGTTGTTAATAAATTATTCTAATACATTAATACAGAATAATTAAATCGATGAATTTACGTGTATTAATTTAATTATGAAATCAATCATGTCATCTATGTCCTTCAGCATTTGTTCTCTTGGTACTTCGATTCCTCTTTCTCTGGAAAGTACCAGAGACACATTTAAAATGTACTCGCGATACTCTTCCCTCGCCTTTTTCACTCTTTCTTCTTCAGCTTCCTCATCTACGTCATCTTCATCTTCGTCATCTTCGTCATCTTCTTCATTTTTATCACCACTATCATCTTCATCATTGTCATCATTATCTTCTTCATCGGTCTCTTCATCATCTCCCTTCTCTTCATTGTCTTCTTCATTAGTTTCATCAATATCATTATTATCTTCTTCATCAACATCGTTTTCTGAAATCTTGTTTACCGCATGATGTATTCTGTGATTGTCAATTCTCTGATTCTTGCGATGTTCGTTGCCATGTATCTTTCCTTTCATCTCAGTTGTCTTCGATTTCTTTCGCATTGCTTCATGTTTTTCACTCTTCCTCTTACCGTGACCAAGCCGTTTTGCAATTTTCTTCTTCGTTACTCTCTTCTTACGTGATTGTTCAATCCTTTTCCCCTTGTTGCTGTTCTTCTCAGAGTGTACCTTTTTTCCTTTGTGCCCTAATTTACTGTGTGCCACATGAGCATGGGCTTTGTGCTTCTTAGCTTTATCCAGTTGATGCAATAATTTATGCAAAAGCTTTTGGTTGGTAACATTCCTCTTCACTCTTTTCCTCCTTAATTTACTATGACTATTCGCCACTTTCTTATTATTATGTCTCCTATTGCCGTGAACCAAACGTCTGCGATGTCCAACAGCTACTTTCTTCTTCTGAAGTTTCTCCTCAGACTCTTCAGCAGTATCGGAATAGTCGTCAATTTCATTATCTTCTTCACTCTCTTCTTCATCCTCCTCCTTGTCCTTATTGTGTTCATTTTCTTCAGCCTTCTCCCTGCTCCCCTTTTCCTGGCTACCTTCTCCGCTCTCATTGTTTTCATCGCTGCTGTCCATTCCCATTTGTAATTCCATGAACTCATTATATGAAATAAGTCTCCGTGCACCTACTGGTAAATGAGGTCTCATAATCTGAAACACCGATAACAAAATATTATTTATAGTCCCATGTATTTTAACATCGATGAAACATTCTGTTGTACCAATAGGGATGGATCGCTTTCCCATGATATCTGCCCGAAGTCTACTTCGTAAAACGCATTCAATCCCATTAAACGACCATATTGGTCATCCACTATTTGCCATTTATATATATTTTCGTCCCATTCTCCATCTTCCATGATAATTGGCCATCCACCGTGTCTCCATAAAGAATTCAATAATGGTTCGACCCCTCTTTTCTCTATGCTTTCTATATGGTACATAAATATTCAATTTTTAACAATTTTCTAAGCAACTTAATTAATTCGATAATGATTCATGTTAAATCAAAATGTACCTTCGTCCATGCAGCTATGGTACCACTTCTTAGCAAGTTTCACAGCAAACAGGTCACTAGGTTTTTCCTCATTTTCAATCAAACCTAAGGCGTGGTAATTCACTTATTTTTAATTTCGCAACGAGGTCATTATATTAGTATAATACTACTTTCGCATTGAATGAGAGTGTAGAAATTGTAATCCAAATACATTAAAAGTGACAAACCTTTAATTTGTCCTTCGATCCTCTCCTGCACCATTTCCCACATACTCCAGGTAGAAGCATTTTCAGGTATGGGAGTGACATTCGACCAATTTCCACAAGCATAGTCATAAAAATCGTCGCATGGGTCCACTGACTCATCCATACTCTCCTTTATTATTTTTGCTAAGTCATAAAGATTGGCAAATTTTTATTTGATCGTAAATTGCTTTCATCTTTTGATTAAATATACTTCATATGAATTACTACTTACCAATTAAACTGCATTCTTTGGTCTTGCATACTTCGCGTTCACCAGTTCTCTCCTCAGTGGCTTCTCTTTTCGTGCCGAACAAGCTTTGCAAAGTACGAGGATATTCCAGCATGTAATTTGATAATATGCCGGCGTTAATAATAGCGCACATAGACGCTCTGGAAAAAGATATGTAAAAATGATGTAATGGAAGAGTCGTCGATGAAAAACTTTATATCCACTTTTCACGAAACTTACAAAATTAAGAGGCGTAACATCCTGTGGCGTGATCAGATCGAAAGATAAAAAAGATCGGTCTGTCGATGTAACATCCAGTCTTTCACTTGCAGCAATGCGGAAGAATTATGGCTGCTGTGAATTTTATACTAAGGGGGTGGAAACAGCCATGGAACTATCTATATCGCGTTCTGATAAGGTGTTATAATTCATCTTGTCTCAAATGCATCCTTTGCCCTTGTGATTTTGCTGATATAATGCCAATATCGCATCCAGGAAACTAATGCCATTTTTCTCTGCTTCCGCTTGGTTCTAATGATTATGTAATTTAACGATTTAATAAATGCAGTTAAGTGCATTTTGTATCAGTAAAACATTTATGTAAAACATTAGGCATATTAACATTGGGTAAAGATTATTCTTTATTTCAAATAATATTTTGTTGATTAAAAGTTTGTTAGAAAGAATCTTTTTTCTATAATGATGAAATATATATGTTGCTTCATGATTTGCTATTTCATTTTTTATTTTGTTAAATAAGAAATATTTCTTTAGGTCTTAGAACTTTCTCAGGACATTTTATTGATCGACAAGACATTCTATTTATGCTCCATTGTCAGGTATTGATAGATAGAAGAAACTCATTGCACGAGATATCATTTACCAGGCTTACGAAAGATTCTGTAATGACTCAATTATTAGATTCTTGAGTTACTATGCGACCTACAATAGATCCGTCAAGAATTTTCTCTTACAATATCAAGAACATGCAAAACGTGATGGGAAAGAAATAAAATAAAATATAACTTCAGCTCTAATTTGTTAATTATTTATTATAATATATTATATAAATTGAATACAATATCTGGGATTGATTGATTACATGTATATAATTCTCGTTTTAATCTTAGAAAAGTGTAGAATATAAAGAAGAATGTTGTAATTTCCGGTGGTCCATTAATCTTTCAATTGTTCTTCGAGCGAAGCATTCTTCTTATTCCCAAAGGTTACATTTCTTCTTAGGATTCATAGGACTGCCCAAGGGACAATCGTAAGCTTTTGCGAAGTCTTCATTGTTGGATATCGGACCGATCACTCTTAACTCGCCTGGGCTATGTGAATCTCTTATCAATGTTTTCAATAGTTGTTCCGGGTCTGCAACCTCACACCACATCTGTAGATGTTAAAACATTTATATAATATATGTATTTGTTTTCAACTGATATAATACTTGTTTGGTGAATAAACTTACGTAAGCGAAGGATAAGAAAAATAGTTGTTCGTTATTCAGATTCTCTAATCCTGGTAATACACCATCTGGTTCGTTACATTTTCGTAGCCTTCGCTGATACGCTTTATACACAACTCTTAAACCCATTGAATCAGCGATGTTTTCAGGAGCAGTTTGTTCACCATAATCCTACAATATGTATGTGAATATCAAACAACATTTAAACCATGATATTAGAAAAATTCTATACCTCGATAGCAATATTTGCTGTTTTATTGTTCACGACGCTATACTTGGTAAATTGATCCATAAAACATTTTGCCCGTTTCTCGTATTCTTCTGTCATTTCTGGTGACCATTCTATTACTTTACCATTTTTATCAGTCTGTCGACCTAATTAATAATACGTTATTATTTCTATGAAGAAAATTGTTAGTGTCATTTATCAGGCCATACCGAAGATATCAAATCCATGATTCACCTCGTGGCCCATAATCAGTCCTATAGTAGCATAGTTTGTGTACCTTGAAGAATATTATTAAATTTCTATAGAATAATATAATACAAAAAATTCTATAAAAAAATATTCATGTGCACTTACCATGGCTGTTTGAAGTCAAAAAATGGCTTCTGGAAATCTGCTGCTGTTATTTCTACAATTCACGTATAATGAAGTAAAATATTTTGTAAACTAATTGTAAGTGAATTAAATATTATACATGTTATATATATAAAACTTACCGATTGCATTTTCGAAGGGTGAGAAAAAAGCGTTTACTATCAACGGGTCTGAACGCAAACTGTAGATTAATAAATTTTTAAGTGAGCATGATACATACTG